ATTAAACTTTTAATGTCCTGTTTCTTTAATGCAGAAGCTGTACTTTTATCTCGACTTACTAGTTCTTCTTCTCTTGCTCGCAAGTACTCACAATAGCTATAAAGCTTAATTATATTTCGGAACATGCACACTGTTTCTGGTTCTGTACCAATAAGTGCTGCAATTTCTTTATCTTTTCTCAAAATGTTTGACTATGGTATTAAAGAGATCCAGTCCGACAAGAAGTCTGGGATATAGTGAAAGAAGATAGTAGACAAATGATTAAGCTTGAAGAAGTAGTTGTAGTAGTTCCAGAGAAGAGTAAGTGACAGGATGAAGATCACAGTGAAAATAAGGATAAAAGGGCCAAACTAAACCACGATAATGTGGCAAAAACTTTGAAAATGCATGAAGAAGTGGTAGTTGAAAAACAAGAGCTAGTATTTCCAAAAGAAAGTGTATTTGGAGGACCAAGTACTAAGGATGGGAAGATGCAAGTTAAAATGCACCAAGATACAATGGTTGTAAAGTCGACGCATGTATTAGAAGTACCAGCTGAATTAGAAGTTAGTAAAGAAAATGGTAGATCAATGAATAGTCAGTCAGCAGAGCATCACGTGAATATGGCACAATCTGAGACCCATACAATATGGGATATACCTCTCAAAGCACATCCGGCACAAGTACGCAAATATCTCTATTTCTATGATAAAATAAAATTCATACAATGGAAACCATTCGGCAAGAGTAAAGCACTTGAGTTCTCAATTAAATTTTGGAGTGAAAGGAGAATGAGTGTGTTTAAGAAGGCATGGGCAATATTTCGAGGAAGGGAAAACATGCAGAGTAACACTGGGCAGTTTTGAAAGAGGAACACTTGAAGAAAGAGCATCCTTTAAAGCAGTAATTAAGAATGTTCCAACAACAGCTGTTGAAGTGCTGCTCCTACATTAGTTGAGGGTAGTAAATGCAAAGGCAGTATACATTTCACATAATAAAAATCAAAATCAATGACGCACAGCAACAGTGTATTTTGGTTTACAGGAAGAATTAGAGATAGCATTAGTAAAGAAAGTGTATTATTTTGATGTTAAGCTGGAGTGGATCAATATATGGAATGAAAGCAGAAGAGATATGGTTAAAGAAGAGACAAATAATAAGGTAGTCAAGTCTCAAGTTGCTGAGGTAGCAATAAGTAAAGGTAGAAAATGGAAGAGACAGCAAACCAATGCCTGAACCTTTTCTTTTTGTTACTTCGTATTGAGACCAAAAACCCTTCATATTTATCTCATCCAAGCTGAACTTTAACTCTTTTTTACTCGAGTTTGTCTCAACTAAGCCCAATAAATCAACCTCATTTTCACAAGCCCCCTCTGCAATTGCCTTCAATTTAATTTTGTTGCCTCTTATACCATTAATGTTGTGGCATGCCATGTTGGCCCGACACTCCTTCAACTTTTCTGTCTTTGCTCCTCTATTGCCTATAATACTACTGAGGGTACTACCTTGCCAGGCATTCACATTGTCTTGTAGCCCCTCAGTTCGTTTAAACATGCCCATGGCAACCCTAGGAGCAATTGGGGCCTGAAGCCCCTAAGTGACTTTTCTTGATTCTGTCAAGCCTACCAAGTATTTCATCAAAGATACTTTTAAATTGAAACTTGAGTTTAATCTCTTCGTTTAAGTCTTTGGCTTGTTCTCCTTTTGGCTTTGTTGTCGGTTCTTCAACCTTGGGATTGCTATTTTCTTTGTTGATCACAGCACTGCTCGTAAACACCCTCTCTGCTATTTGCTGTCTCTTCCATTTTCTACCTTTATTCATTGCTACCTCAGCAACTTGAGACTTGACTACCCTATTATTTGTCTCTTCTTTAACTATATCTCATTCCATATATTAATCCACTCCAGCTTAACGTCAAAATAATATACTTTCCTTACTAATGCTGTCTCTAATTCTTCCTGTGAACCAAAATACACTGTTGCTGTGTGTCGTTGATTTTGATTTTTATTATGTGAAATGTATACTGCCTTTGCATTTACTACCCTCAACTGATGCAGGAGCAGCACTTCAACAGCTGTTGTTGGAACATTCTTAATTACTGCTTTAAAGGATGCTCTTTCTTTAAGTGTTCCTCTTTCAAAACTGCCTGGTGTTACTCTGCATGTTTTCCCTTCCTCGAAATGAATTGCCCATACCTTCTTAAACACCCTCATTCTCCTTTCACTCCAAAATTTAATTGAGAATTCAAGTGCTTTACTCTTGCCGAATGGTTTCTATTGTACGAATTTTATTTTACCATAGAAATAGAGACATTTGCGTACTTGTGCCGGATGTGCGTTGAGAGGTATATCCTATATTGTATGGGTCTCAGATTGTACCAGATTCACGTGATGCTCTGCTGACTGACTATTCATTGATCTATCATTTTCTTTACTAACTTCTAATTCAGCCGGTACTTCTAATACATGCATCGACTTTACAACCACTGTATCTTGGTGCATTTTAACTTGCATCTTCCCATCCTCAGTACTTGGTCCTCCAAATACACTTTCTTTTGGAAGTACTAGCTCTTGTTTTTCGACTATCACTTCTTCATGCGTTTTCAAAGCTTTTACCACACTATCGTGGTTTAGTTTGGCCCTTTTACCCTTATCTTCACTGTGATCTTCATCCTGTCGCTTACTCTTCTCTGGGACTACTACAGCTACTTCTTCAAGCTTAATCATTTGCCTACTATCTTCTTTCACTGTACTCCCAGACTTCTTGTCGGACTGGATCTCTTTAATACCATAGTCAACACATCCAACTTCATGGTCTATTAAACTTTTAATGTCCTGTTTCTTTAA